TTAGTCACTAGCTAATTTAGTCACTAGCTAACTTAGTCACTAGCTAATAGTCACTAGCTAATTTAGTCACTAGCTAACTTACTAGCTAGTGATTTGCTAGCTAGAAATTATTTGAACATTTCGAGAACCACTGATTAAACCCACTTTAAGTTTGGCTGCTTGGAAGCAAACCGTCCATAAAACTATTAGGGCGTAGATTAAAGCAGTGGTTCCCAACCCTGGTCCTTGAGGAACACCATTCTGCATATTTTAGTTGTTTCCCTGCTCCAACACACCTGATTCAGTGATTTAATTACTTCCTCCAGTTCTGCAGAACCCCGTTAATCACCCATTCAGTCAAATCAGTTGTGTCAAAGCAGAGAAACAATTAAAACATGCAGGATGGTGTTCCTCAAGGACCATGGTTGGGAACCACCCAGTTTTTAGTTGTAAAAAGAACAATAATTAATGCTACACAAAAGTGTCCTCACTTGTTTTGTTCCCTGACATTGGTGTGTGGCCCATGCAGAACCATTCAGAGACCTACGTATGTGCCGAAACAAAAACATTCACTATCCCACAATGCACCACAATGCTATAGTGTGTACGCATTTCTGCGCATGTACTTTGTGTTGGTTGAACAGCATTGTCCACCACTGGCAATATTAAAACGTTACAAGTATTTTTAGAGCAAATGAACAAGACCATAAAATTAAAACATTCTGCTCACAAATGTGAGCTTGAGCTGCAAGAAAGAAAGAGCAAAAAGCGTCGGAAAGAACAACAAAACACATTGCACAAGAAATGACAGAAAAATATGTTATTCTAAAGTAAGGACTGCGGTTTAAAGACTTGAGTATTAGCATTCTAGTACCAAGAGGCAGATAAAGAGTGAAAAGGCCTCCGTGCAGCGGAGAAAGATCAAATTAAACCAGAGTAAACAAGGCAGAGACGGTGCGCAGGAAGCTTCAAACGAGGAGGGTGACGAGAGGAAGGCAAAGGGGATCAAAACTGAAGGGTCAGTCTCAGGTCATGGTGCTGCGTTTCTGCCAAAGGTTAAAGGTCATCATGGGGCAAAATTAATAAGGTGGGGACAGAGAAGAGGAACAAAGATACATTCACCCAGGAGGTGTTTTACAGACACACGAGCCACAAGCTGACTGTGACTTTAACTAGACCGTCACATCCACACACACAGGCCAGAGTGGAGGGGGTTCAGTGGGGTGGTGGTGTCAACATGTCACGATGCAGATTTGTGTTCTGGACCTGAGCGATATTTCAGAGGGGGGAAAGGGAGTCATCTGGTCAGCCTCCCCTTTGAACCCCTCCCTCCTTGGCGACGTCTCAACTTTCCCTTCGAAAATCAGCACGGACCCAAGTTTGTCAGGGACTCTAGTGATAGAATATATAGACGGGGCCACAAAAAATAAAAAAAAATAAAAATGACACCATTTATGAGAGGAGGGAGAGAGAGCTGCAGCAGAAGCAGGAGACAGAAGTGGTCAGCCACACAGATACAACGTTTTATCAGAGCGGTGAAATATTATTTATGAATGCTGTTTCCGCTTTGAATTTTATTCTTCAGGAGTTTTCCAGTAGGCTAACTCCGCTTTACTAATAAATCCTAAAATACTTCATTAAAGATGTTTTAACCTGAAAAAAACTGTTTTACTGATCTATTCTATAGCTACTTAGTACTTTGAGTCAAATCCATCAAAATAATTGACACATTTTGGCAGCAAAAAAAAGTCCAAGATGCTAGGAGCATTTATCCTTTGGGTACAATAAACCGATGCAAAAGTAAACCTAATTTTAGAAACCCTGCTTCAGTTAGACCTTTTTTTTTTTTTTTTTTTAGAAAAAAGCAACTTGGAATCATATATGCTCACTTACAGGCAAGTTAAGCTCAAGTTGCTTTATTCCTTAAATATAGTTTTTTTTTTCTTCATTTAAAGATAAATAATAAATATAGATTAAATAATTACCAAAAGTTATAACATTTTTAACATTTTATTTATACTATTTGTAAAAAATTCCTACTCAAGTTATTAGTTTTTTTTACTCTAAGTACCGTATTTTCTGGACTCAAATATAAGCCACACCCACTACATTAAAATAATAATAATAATTTTGTACTTATATAAACTGCACTTGTGTATAAGCCGCAGGTGTCCATGTTGTAACGTGAGACATTTACACAAAAATGTTTTTTTAACTTTTGATTAAGTATGTACCGGTAACACACAAATACGTAGTTTTTTTTTCTTTTTCTGAACTGTGCCAGTAATAAAGCTGGTTAAAAAATAAATACAGTAGCCTACAAGGAAGTCAGTGATCGCTATCTTCATCTTCCTCCTGCAGAGGATTGTTTTTTAAACTGCTCTTCTCTCAGCATCCACTGCAGACTGGAGCAGAAGTTGCTCTTTGCACGCCGTCAGTTTTGGTAAATGCTTTCTCGCCACCAGTCATCCAGTTACGTGAGCGCCGGTGTGTGATGAGGATAAATGTTTTGGCGGCAGGAAGCTCGTTAGCCCATCAAAAAATTAAAATCCATAAATTAGCCACAGCATTGTATACGCCGCGGGGTTCAAACCTGAAAAAATAGTGGCTTATAGTCTGGAAATTACGGTAAATAAATTGAAAATTAAATATTTTGTAAAATTAATTTAGATAAAATAAGAATTTTATTAATTTTTTCTAATTTTTTTATATTTATAAATGATTTATTTATCGGATTTTCCATTTATTTTAACTCAATACAGAAAAATGATTGAAAAAACACTTTTTTATATACATTTTTTTAATTAAAGGGGAATTTATTTAACACCAAGTGAAATAAATTAGTCAACAGATGAACCAGAAAACTGTAAACATTTACAAATGACACGCTGTAATCTTTAAAGGTGATCTGAATTAAAATAAGTCATGAGGGGAGAAGGAAATGTTTATTTTCAACAACAAATCTCTTCTCAGCTGTTCTTCGACCTTTCCGTAAAAGGGCCTAATGAGGAGGAGGAGGAGGAGGAAGAACTCTAAATATAAACAGAGAAACTTTATCTGCTCATGTTGCTCTGTGGGACATTTGAACAGACTTTTATCACATGAACTGACTGAGGATCGTGTTTTATTGGGACACTGTGAATTCCAGGGTCACCGCTCCTACCGTGTTACTGGAGCCCAGTGCCTCGGGCCCCTCGTGCTGGGACCCCTGATAGACTCGGAGCTGGGGGTGTTCGGGGTATTCTGCGCTGTGATGAGCAGAGCTGAAATCCAGTGTGGCCAGTCTGCCCGCTGATGTAGCCGGGCATTGACCTGGTGGTGGGTACGATGGGGGCGGAGCATAAACCTGAGGAAGGGTGGGGTCCCCGCCACTGGGGCCCGCCTCCTGAGCGGGGCCCCCCTGTGGAAAAAAGGAGAGGGAGATTCAGATTTTTTAAAAATCACCGACACACTAACCAGATGTTTTATCGCTTTACTGATGGAGAGCCCTCAGGGCCTTCTACACTTTCAGAGAAGGCCTAAGAATTCAACACATATTTAAATTTTTATTAACATTTATTTTATATAAAATATATATTTTTATGTAGTTGCTTTTTTTTTTTGTTGCCAATCTCTTACTTTCTGCAGTTGAGCGAGAAACTTTTAATTATGAAGAAGTCATTCAATCCGATTCTTTAAACCTTTTGTCTCCAGGCAGAAACATGTTTGACAGTTCTGTCATTGGTTAGGACTTCACTGTCAGAAGAGAAGGCTGAGCTCAGTCTGTCCCTCCAGGATGCGTTTGTTTATTAACTGACAGGAAAATTAACCAGTCACAAAGTCGATGTAGAGTGGGTGGGACCGAAACACGGGACTCTTGAGCCTTCGGGAAGGCCTTACAGTCATTTCTGTCTTTCTTTCTTTTTTGACCATATAAGACTTGTGATGCATTCTTTTGCAACCTGTAAATTCAACAATCCACACAAAAATTTGAGTTGCTCCAAGAAAAGTAAGGTTTAATATTCCATTTAGGTTTAAATTGATAATTTTCAACATTACAGTTGTACTTTAGTTTCATTACATGAGATAACATTTTACAGAAACAGTAAGTTCTGTGGGTTATTGTTAAATTTCAGTAAGAATTATGTAAATTACCTGTTGTACTTGAATGCAACAGACTGCGTGAGTGTGAGTGAAAAATTATATTAAGTTATTATCTGGTCCTTTCTGTTGGCTAATAGATCAAGTTTGGCAAATGTACAATATACTCTGCTTTGTGTTTGATGTTGATTTGTTCTCTGTACTCTCATTTCTTTCTTTACTTGGTTAATAAATCATCATAAAACAACAACTGACTTGTTTAATTCTTGAGTCCACCATTATAAAAGAAAAAGGAAAACAGTGCTGGAATTAAAGTTTTTAACTTTATCTTTGCATTAAATTGTTTACAAAAAGGAGATTTAGGCTGTAAAACAAACAGAACAAAAAAAAAAAAAAAGCCATGTTTTTGTTATTTTCTCAAACTAATCTACCGGTAATGTTGATGAAATACTTTTTCAACAGCTTCCAAAGCTTTTGTCCAACTTATTTACATTTAAAGTTTATAATCATTCAGTTTTAGGAATTATAGTTGAATTTATTTACATTTTTAAAAAGTCAAAACTTATCAGACATCTAATTTAAAAATGTATTGTTTTATATTTGTATTATACTATATAGTTACTGTTTGGGAACACTTGTTTTGTCAAAAACATTTTGTTTTAGATTCATGCTGATTCTATCACTGATCTTTTAGATATTTCTTTTCAGTTTGCTGCAAATTATGATAGTTTGTCGTCAATAAAACAGCTGTGCTAACAGCGAAACGTCAACTCTTTAGAGTCATAAACAAAAGAGGACAATGTTATTTTTTAATAACTCTTTAGTTCAAGTTGGAGCTGGAGTTTATAAGATTAATCACTTGGCTGAAGGATTTATCTTTGATTTAAAACAACAAAAAGCAACGTGTCACTGGATATTTTTGACAGTGGCATCTCCTTCGTCTCTGAATTCAAATTAAAATGACGACTCAGACGATAAGAAACCCCGCAGTTAAAACAAAAATCAAAGCAGTCTTACCCCTGTTCTGTGTTCGTCTCTTTCTGATGCTTTGTCTGACGCCAGCTGCATGTTTTAATGCCAGCTGAACCCCCCCCCCCCTGTCCCCCGCCCATTACAAGTCCCACTCATCCTCCAATCACGACAAATGGCTGCCACAGTTAAAGAACAGGGGAACCACACAGCTGTTGACATCTGTAACAGTCAATCACTTCATCAGCCAGACAACAGGACCCAAACAGATACTTAAAGACTGTGGTGTCCCCCCCCCCCCCCCCACACACACACACACTGGGTGTGGGATTTATGTGAGTTAACACTTCTTCTGCTGTAAAACATGAACATTGATGCTTTTACAAAATAAACGAGTTAATGTGTGACTGCTGGATGTGAGCACCAGTGACCCCCACGACCCAAAAAGGAAGACGTGAGTAAAGATGATGGATGGATGGATGGATGGATGGATGGATGGATGGATGGATGGATGGATGTGTGATGCAGTTGTTAAATAAAATAACATGCAAATACTTTATTCTGTCTGGCTGAAAAGGCTTCGTTAGAGCCCTCTGTTTGTTTCTAATGAGAGGATTTTGAATCCGAGCTGCATTTTATGAATCGGAGAAATTATTCTCAGCAAAATATGCAATTTTCTTTATTTCTGGATTTATTTAAAACACCATTCTTTATATAAGGAGTCATTTTGCTCTCATTACTTTCCAAATATTTTGCAATAATTGATAAAAATCCTATTTCAATTATGACAAACAAACTTCTCATCTTTTATGCATAAGTCTGTAGTCCACATTAAATCTATTATTGCTGTATTATTTATTTTGTTTTGGAAAAATTAGACATTTTAGTCAAAATTCAATAAATCTAAACATCAAAAATCTTCATAGATGTTTGTAAAGTTGAACTAAAGTTGTAGACAAACTAAGCATCATGTAAAATTTGGACCCAACCTGCATTTTATTAAAATAAAAAAATAAAAATCCACCATCTTGTACAACAAAGATCTATCAACAGTCAGAATATGTGATGGGGATGACTCTCAGCTACTACCACCACATCACATTTGAGCTCAACAGCTGTAAAATTAACTGAGCTTTGGCCAGTTTGTGTTGGCTGAGGTAGATTAGCTGTGGCAGCCATCTTGAACTGGGTTAACTCCAAAGGTTAATCAGCTGATGTACATCCTATGATTACTTTGATTGATTACACTAATAAGAGGCCGGACCTCCAAACTCTTCGATCAGATAAGGTTTTAGCGCCTACATCTAATCAAATAGTAAAAGAGAAAATAAATATTGACAGAAAAGGCAGATAAACTACAAAAAAAAAAAGCAGTAAAATAAATGTTCTAAATAACAGACATTTTAAATATTTATGAGAGTTACTTCACCACATTTCAGAAAATACTTACATTTGTGTTTTGCTTTGTCGTACACATAAATATCATGATCATGACAGATAGTTTGCTGTGACTTTAAATGATAATTAATTTAAATAAACTAATTTTAGTCACTTTGCAGACAGAAACTGACAGTTCACATCTGCAGTATATTAACCTTCACTATCCCTGACAATCAAATACTCTAAATGCAATTATCTCAAGAAGCAAGTGACGCGTGACCACAGTGACCCTCCGATCAGATTTAGAAATGACACGTGAGTGAAGATAAAGCTGCTCGTTAGGTTTCACCATCAACCATCCTTTCTTTCTTCCCACACGAGTTCCTGCATGGACCAGCTGCTGAGCCTGATTCAGTATCATAGTGTCAGCAAGACACAGGCTTTCTATTTTTTTTTTTTTTTTTTTTTTTGGATTGCCATTTGCTCAATCTTTCTCTCATCTCCTTCCTCAGCTGTCAGTTTGAGGTCAGAGGTCGACAGCTTGGAGCCAGGTGCCGGCTGCAGCAGCTGCTGCAGGATTTACACAACAAGACGACGGGAGCTGCAGATGTGACGTTTCATTACTGGCCGGAGCAAGTACTGGCAGCTTATTAGGGGAAACTGTTTTCCATCTTTTTGTCTTCCCATGCAGCACATTCTGCTTTTTTGAAGTGAAGGTTTTTACATGAAACAGTTGAAAAGACATGGACTTCAAAACACATCTGCTGAAACTTGGGAAATAGCCGATACTCTACGCCAACGCCTGTGAAGTGTGCGAAACAGAATAAGGGTTCAGACCTGGGTGTTTTATTGTTTTACACAAGGAATAAATGTAATTGATTCAAGATGAAGTGTCACATTCCTCAGGCTTTTATTTCCAGCTGCAACTTGACTTACAGCTGCAGTCACCTTCAAACAGCACCTATCTATTTCCTCAAACTAAACCTCTGATGTGCATTAAATCACAGAAACAGACGTAAAGTTTAGGCTTGAGGCGTCCGTGTTTAAATGCACAACAGGCAGGTTTTATGTCTGTTTAAAGCACAGTTGACTGGAGTTCAAGGCATGTAGGTGACAGAGCCTCTTCTGGTGATTATGAGCTCAGGAGGAAAGGACTAAAAATACCTCCGGTGTGAAGCATAGTGACAAGGTAGAGATGCCAGATGCCTTTTGGCATCTGTGGTATGTCAGGGACACTTGCTGCTGGTCTCGTTCAGACCAAAGGACTAAAGATAACACTTAAATGTGTGCTTACTGTCATTGATTATTTCTCTGGAACGTCACTAAACTGACCAGGAGAATTCATCTTTACTGGAAATGTCACTTTGTTGCACATTTGTAATACCAACCATTTTAAGTTTGTTTAACCCAATTCATAAGGGTGCAAAAATGCAAGAAATGCTTAAATTTAAAATAATTAGATTAAAATATATATATAATATTGTAAGTGTGAAACTTGGGCTTTCAATTTTTTAATAAATAAAACAAAAATATTGCTTAATTTTGATATTTTTGGACAAATGACACTGTCATTAGAAATGACTGTCTCTTGCAAATTTAACATATGCATTTAAAAAGAAAGTTTTTGTTACTTATTGTTTTTTTCTGGCCCATAAAGTCGAGCCCATTTAATATGTTTTTAATGACTCGTGACAAACATTTATGTGGAAGAACAGAGTTGCAGAACAAACAAAGAGTTTACCTGAACTATGCTGGGGTAGCATGTGGTTGTCTGTGGGTAGACGGAGAGTCCATAAGGCTGGAGGATCACTGTGGGTGAGGACAGCATAGCCCCAAAACCACACACAAGGAGACGGGGAACAAAGGAAGATAAGGGGGAGAAGGAGAAAGGACAGTAGGGGAAACGAAAAGCCTTGAACGCACACAGAGGAGCAGCCAATCAAGCTGGAAAAAAGAGGAAAAATCCCAGATAGAAGTCACAATCAATCCTAAAGGTGATGAAAGAGAGGGCTAAAAATGTATTTCACCCCACAGGTGAGTCAAAAATACAATGAAAGTCCACAAAAGAACAAGTTTTCTGTCTGTAAGGGACAGGGTATAAAGCAGTGAAGGAGAAAACAAGTGAGCTTCTGTGGGTCCATCAGTGGATGGTGCAGGATGACAGACAGAAACACATGTTCAGGGTCTCCTTTCAGAGTTATATAAATAGTAATCCATGTCCTCCTCGTTGAGTTTATCATCTTACCTCCCCTCACTATCGCTCACAGCTCCTTGCAAGATTTGCACTACTTTTTACAAAATTTTGAATAATACATAGTAAAATCTGGGGGGTGTAATGAGAAAGAAATAAAGTTTCCCCTTCTGAAAAACGTGACTCGGATCAATCTCAAGAGTCTAATTAATAATTTATATATATATATTAAAAAACAGAAACAAAACAAAGCGTACATATTGTCAAAAATGTCACGGTTTTGAGATGGCAGGCTGTACAGTATTTTCCAGTTTTGACCAACAGAGTGCGACAACAGTTCACTTCGAAGGGGAAACAAGACGCATGATGGGTAATGTAGTCTTACGTATAACTATATAATCGAACACGCGCTCTCCTTGACTTCCTCTTTACTGCGTGAAGCCTGGGAGAAGCAGGTATGAGGAGCTACTTCCTGCCTTATAACTACACAAAATAACTGCTTTTAAACAAAAACGCATGCAAACGTTGGTATGATATTAAATTAAGCTCAAACGAGTGTCCTGAATAGCCTTAATATTGTTCCTTATTATTTTTATTTTCGAAGAAAATATTCGGCTAAGCTAACGCTAACAGTCCCATTAAACAACGTGGTGCTGCGCGACTAAAGGCCTCGTCGTGTGGTTGAATTAGTGGTTTTCTAGCATTATTTTAACGTTTTCTAGCAATAATGTTTCATGATGTCCAACTCAATTAAATGCATTATGCATGTTCAAGTAGAAATGTTACATTAATTACCGGTAAATAAAAATTTTCGTTAGGGGAAGCTACAGGCCCAAGATGGGTTATTTGTGTTATAACAGTACCGTTTTATTAATGCTTGTATTGTTGCAGCAGTAAATGGGGTGCCCCAAATAAATTAAAAAATTAATAAAGTGCATAAATGTAAAGAAAAAAGAAAGTTGGTTAACTGTTTAGATTTTCATGAAAGCTGTACATTTATTAAACTTGAATTATTCTGAATGTCCTTAATGGCATGTTAAGCATGCATATTTTTAATTAGCGACATGGTCTATTAAACGTTTTAATCAAATGTTAAATATTTTAATTGCTATTTTAAAAAATGCCAACCACTTTACTCAAAAGTATTTATAATCCAATTTTTTTTTTGTAACGAATATGCTGCATTGTGGCGTTGATGCTTAACAACAGTTAAGCTAAACATTTTGAAGAGGTAATGTTGCTGCCTTCACATTTCAGGCACGATAAGCCACCATGCCCGTTGCCAGAAGTTGGGTATGTCGTAAGACATACGTCACTCCTCGCCGTCCTTTTGAGAAGTCCCGTCTTGACCAGGAGTTGAAACTCATTGGTATGTCTTATTTTGCCACAATCACTACTTCAAAGTCTGAAGTGATGTTACGCCATGATTCTATTTCTTTATACTGCGCTAAACAATGACTGTTCATCTTTCAAGGCGAGTATGGACTGAGAAACAAGCGTGAGGTGTGGAGGGTCAAATTCACTCTGGCCAAGATCCGTAAAGCTGCCAGAGAGCTGCTCACCTTGGACGAGAAGGACCCCAAGCGTCTGTTTGAAGGCAAGTTAAGGAAACAAACCCATCTTATATTGGCCAATGATTTAAGTCAACTGTCAGACTTTACAGTGGTGTCACGAATTCCTCGTGAATGAGGTCATTCTTTACTAAATTCAGTTATGTATTCCATGTAATGCTAAGTTTTAGTGTCTAAACTTCCTTTCTGTGACTTTTTTCCCACAGGTAATGCCTTGCTCAGGCGTTTGGTGAGGATCGGTGTGCTGGATGAGGGTAAAATGAAGCTCGATTACATCCTGGGTCTGAAGGTTGAGGATTTCTTGGAGAGGAGGCTGCAGACGCAGGTCTTCAAGCTCGGACTTGCCAAGAGCATTCACCACGCCCGTGTTCTTATCCGCCAGAGACACATTCGGTAAGTTCTTAAACCTCTTGAGAAACTTGAAAATAAGGGGTCCAGAAGTCTTCCAAGGGACTCATGAGAAACTGTCACTGCTTCCTCTTTCATCAGAGGACCATCTCGTTGAGATCAATTAAACTTTTCAGCAAGGTCAATGCGGTATCAAAACCGTATACCTTGTCAGTAGACATTGCCCAGAGCCAATCCTGCCGATGAGGCCACTTGCTGATGAGGTCGTCAGGTAAGGTATGGGGGATTGCACCTCGGGCAATTGTTGGTATTCACTGCTGCTTGAATATGCATAACCAGGCTGATGATTAAATACATGATCAGACTTTCTATGGTGTCAAGAATTCCTCGTGAATGAAGCCTGCAGTAAAGTGTTGCCTTTGGTTCAGTTGTAACTTTTTTAACTTTAGTTTTTTGTAAATTTAATCATAAAGCTTTTTTAGATGTACTCTTAAAATGTTGTATTTCCTGTCTTGGCAGCGTGCGCAAGCAGGTGGTGAACATACCTTCTTTCGTGGTTCGCCTGGACAGCCAAAAGCACATCGACTTCTCTCTGAGGTCTCCTTATGGTGGTGGACGCCCCGGCCGCGTCAAGAGAAAGAACGCCAAGAAGGGTCAGGGTGGAGCTGGAGGAGCCGACGACGAGGAGGAAGATTAAGAAGGATGTTGTCTGGGGAGGTTTCTGAGATTCCTCTTGTCAAAATCCTTAATTAAAAAAGAAAGTCTGACCAAATAACTGGATTGTCCCTGTGTCTTATGTTCAAGTTTTCTGTACAGTTGTTACTGCCACAGACCATAAAAACCAGTAGCTTATCAGACAAAAAGTAAACCTGCCATGCCTCTAATCCAGGGAATAACTGCTGTTGCATTGCACAAGATTAACCATCATCTACTCTTAAATTTACACAACAGTTCTTAAAATATTCTCCACTTTATTGAGTTTTTTTTTTTTAAGTACTGTATTTTCGCCTTGTGTCAAACTGGTTGAAAATGACAAAGTCCATGCTCAATAATCCATGTATACAATCAACATTTTTCAGGTCATATGGACAGGTTTTTTTTTTGTGTGTGTGCTGAAACATTTCGCCTTCGATCTGGAAGGCTTCATCAGTCAAGGAAATGCAACAAAACTGATTCTTCCCCCAACAGCTTACTCCACAGTGGAACAAACCAGTTCTTTGGACTTTGTTTTTAACCAGTTTGACACGACTGTCAACAAGGAAGAGGGCTGGCAGTGGAGGAGGGGGCGTACCAAAGAGCATCTAATCACAAGCAGAACTGGTTTGTTCCACTGGAGTAAGCTGTTGGGGGAAGATTCAGTTTTGTTGTTTCCTTTACTGGTGAAGCCTTCTGGATCGAAGGCGAAACGTTTCAGCACCAAATAAAAACTGTCCAGATGACCCGACTGAAAAATGCTGGATTGTATACCTGGATTATTGAGCATGAACTTTGTTAATTGTTTTAGGTGCTTGTTAAATTTAGAAGAAATGTGCAGCTTTCCTCCTTCCTGATTTCCTCCCTGTGCTCACCGAGGCACCAGATACTTTTGAAATACTGGTACTTGTTAAGTTTTGAAGAAATGTGCAGTGACTCGTCCCTGAGCGTTTCTACTTCCACGTATCTGCTTTTGAAATACAGCTGATTTGACCGTCAAAGTGGGAAAGTATTAAGGAAGAGTTGAGACTGAGACACGCCTTTACTATAAATTAAAGCAAACAAATGTTTCTAGGTGGTTATCTTGTTAAATTTCAAAGAAATGCACAGCGGGTTCTCGTGCACGCGCCTACTGCGAATCAGGTTTTGAAATGCAGCTGATTTGACCGTCAAAGTGCATTTAAACTTAATTAAAAGTTGGACTGAGACACCTTTACTGTAATGATGTTTTTAATCATTCTTGTTAAAGTTCTCCCGTGCACGCTCAGCCAATCGATTTTTGGCACAACACCGGCCCACATTTCCAGGTTGTCAGCGGAGACGCATAATAGATGCGACTTATACGGTGGTGTGATGTATTTATGGATTTTTCCACTATTAGACATATTTGAACTGATGCGACTTATAGGGCGGTGCGATGTGTATGGCGGAAAATATGGTACTTGTGAGTATTGTTCCATTCAGTACCTGTACTGTACAAGTATATCAAGTCTACCTATAAAAATAACCACACTGTCTTGGACGCACATAACTGGAGAGAGAACTGGCCTAAAATAATTTTATTACTTGTTTTTACATCACAGTTCAAAGTTAATTAGCTTTTATTTAAAATGGTCAAGTGTTTTCTATTTTATTTAACAAAATCTTTTGAGTCTCATTACTCTAGATGGTCCTCCTCAGTACCACTAGTGGTACCAGTTTTAAGAACCGTTAAATGATTCACACGTACATCGCGCCTGAAAGACCTAAATATTGTCCCCTAGGATAAAAATGCATAAATTGTATTCTTTAGGGACATTATTACGTGCAGTGTTCCCTCTGCAGACTGAACTAGGCAAAAGGACCTTCTACTCCACTCTTGTTTCTTGCAACAAGATCCGAAGTTCTTGTCCTCTAAGTGGCTTCAGACATCTAAGTTCCTGGCAAAAACCATTGCAGACATGTTCCTGTTTTCTACATCATTTTACAACCCAGTTGTTTTTGTTTCTTTTTGTTTTAAATGCCTTTTTTTATTCTCAATGTGTTTGCTTTTTATGATTGTTTACTGTTGTCTTTGTTTACTGTTGTCATCACTCTGTTAAAATCAGGTCTCTCGTAAATGAGTCCCAGAGGCTCAATGGGATTAACCTGTATAAATAAAGTTTGAATGAAGGTGGTCCTCTCCCCTGCACAGTAGTTGTGTATTTTTCTTTTTTTATGTACATTAGTTGTGTAAT